ATGCAAAAGCATTCGATTCTGCAGATCACAACAAATTATGGATAACATTGAGAAGAATTCCAGAATACTTAATTGTACTCATGAGGAACCTGTACATAGATCAGGAGGCTGTCATTTGAACAGAACAAGAGGATACTGCCTGCTTTAAAATCAGGAAGGGGGTGTGTCAGGGTTGTATCCTTTCACCATCTTTATTCAATCTGTACTCTGAGCAAATAATCAGAGAAGCTGGATTATATGAAGAAGAATGTGGCATCAGGATTGGAGGAAGAGTCATTAACATCTTGTGATATGCAGATGACACAACTTTGCTTGCTGAAAATGAAGATGACTTGAAGCACTTGCTGATGAAGATTAAAGACTACTGTCTGCAGTATGGATTATGCTTCAACATAAAGAAAACAATCCAACTCCCAATGCGAGTTACTATTAAAAATTTATTATGCAGCCCTCAAATTTTTGCGGCAACTACCAAAGCTAAAGAGGAAGAAATTGAAGATTTTTACCAACATCTGCAGTCTGAAATTGATCAAACAAGATGTATTGATAATTAATGATGATTGGAATGCAAAAGTTGGAAACAAAGAAGAATCACCAGTAGTGGGAAAATATGGCCTTGATGGTAGGAATGATGCTGGAGATCGCATGATAGCATTTTGTAAAACCAACAACTTATTTTGGTAAATACCTTACTCAACAACATAAACCACAGTTACACACGTGGACCTTGCCAGACTGATTCACTGGAATCAAATTGACTACATCTATGGAAAAAGGTGATGGAGAAGCTCAATATCATCAGTTGAAACAAGGTCAAGAGCTGAACAGATCATCAATCACTCATATGCAAGTTCAAGTTGAAACTAAAGAAAATTAAGACAAATCCATGAAAGGCAAAATATGACCTTGACTATATCCCACCTGAATTTAGAGACTACCTGAAGAACAGCTTTGATGCATTGAACACCAACGACAGAAGACCAGACAAGCTGTGGGATCACATCAAGAACATCATACATGAAGAAAGGAAAAGGTTATTAAAAAGACAGGAAAGGAAGAAAATATCAAAATGTATGTCAGAAGAGATTCTGAACTTTGCTTTTGAACATAGAGTAACAAAAGCAAAAGAAAGAAATGTTGAAATAAAAGAGCTGAACTGAAGATTTCAAAGTGTGGCTCAAGAATACAAAATAAATTATAATAATGAAATGTGCAAAGACCTGGAATTAAAAAACCAAAAGAGAAGAACATGCTTGGCATTTCTCAAACTGAAAGAACTGAAGAAAAAATTCAAGTCTTGAATTGCAATATTGAAGGATTCTGTGAGCAAAATGTTGAATGATGCAGGAAACTTCAAAAGAAGATGAGAGGAATACACAGCCTGTGACAAAAAGAACTGGTTGACATTCAACATTTCAGGAGGTAGAATATAATCAAGAACTAGTGGTATTGAAGGAAGAAGCCCAATCTGCACTGAAGTAATTTGTGAAAAACAAGGCTCCAGGAATTGATGGAAATACCCACTGAGATGTTTCAATAAATGGTTGCAGTGCTGGTGTGCTTACTCATTCATCCTAAGAAATTTGGAAGACAGCTACCTGGCCAACAAACTGGAAGAGATCAACATTTGTGGGCTCATTGTTTTCCTCCTTCAGTGTCATCTGCTTATTCCTCTCCTAGGTCTGCTGCAATCGTTAGTGTATTTTCCTGTCTCCCTCCTTTCATGTGGGTAATGAAAGTATGCTACATCTTTGCACTCCTAATATGTATCACAGTGTCAAATATTATTTGTTTATTTAATTAAATTATCTATTCAGCAAGTGTACTGGGCATCCAGTAAGTGACAGGCACTCTCCTAAGAATTGGCTAAAATAGTGGAGTTGACATTTTAATAGCAGGTAACAGAAAATAATTTCATAAAGCTATAATATGCTTGATGGTAATAAGTGCTATAGAGAATAAAAATTAAATAAATAAATAGATAATGGGATGGAAGCTGGTTTGATTATGAAATGGTGGCAACAGGATACTGTATCATATAGCGTAAGCCAGGGAAAGATTTTCTATTAAAATGATATTTAAGCAAATATCCAAAGCAAGTGAGGAAGTGAGCCATGTAACTATCTATGAAGGTATGTATCAAATGAAAATAACAGCAAGGGCACCTGTGGCAGGAGTGTGGTCAGCATATTTGAGGAACTACTAAGTGACCAGAGTAGCTGGTGCAGAGAGAGAAAGAGGGGGAGTACCCAGAGACAGCTCACAAAAACTCTGAGGTAAGTGGGCTGGGGCGGATCATATAGAGTGATAGGAAGGAGTTTGTATATTGATCTGATGAGGATAGAAGTTACTAGGACATTTTGGAGGTTATTTTGGATGGAGAAGTGATGTGATCTGGCTTCTGTGTGGAAATAGATTAAAACATAGATAATGATGGGATGTGGAAGACCAGTGAGGAAACTATTTATCCAGGGGAAAAGAGATTGTGGTTTAGGATAAGGCCGAGCTATAGAGGAATGATAGATTGTGACCTTCTGGTTGTGTTTTGAAGGTCAAGAGAGCAAGAATGTATGACATAGATGAATTGTGTTCATTCTCCCTCCCTCTTTTTCTGTGTCTTTCTCTTCTCTTTTTTTCCTTCTGAAAAATACATATAAGCATTCATACCATAATATGCATTCTTGATAAAATAAAAATGAGTGAACCTGATTTGTTCACAGAAAATGTCTGTTTTTGAGCAATGGAATTAGAGTGATAATTTGTCCTTTGAAGAACTCAAATGAATATTTTGTGAGTATTACTGAAGAATTTATTGTGGAAAGAAGACAGTATTTATTATGGTCAGAAGGTCAGAGTTCATGTCCCTATACTGTATAATATCCATATAATATATAATATATATGTTGTTGTTGTTGTCATGTGCCATCAAGTCAGACTTGACTCACAGCGACCCCTCCTTGGGTTTCCAAGGCAGTATCACTAAGGAAGTAGATTGCCCAACTTTCCTTCCAAGGAGTGGCTAGTGAGTTTGAACCACCAGCCCTCTGGTTAGCAGTCAAATGCCTTAGGCACTACGCTACCAGAGCTCCTATAATATATATAGATATATTGAATTGGCTGAGTTGTTTAATCCTTCTGAGTCTCAGTTGCTTTACTAGTAAAGTAAGATATGCACATTCTTGATCACATAGAGACATTATGAATATAAAAAGTTAAGTTATATGAAAGTACATTTTAGGTAATATAATGTAGTACATCACATATTTTTTTTGTCAATATCTAACATATCCATAGCACTTTATATGAGTTAAACTTATTTTCACAGTAAGTCCTAGCAACTGGTACACCATCCGATCTGCAGCCTATACGACTATGAGACCAGAAGAAATAGATGGTGCTTGGCTACTACTGTCAACCACTTGGAAAAGGATCTTTGTAGGAGATACTGGATAGACAGGGGGAACAATGTGGAACAAAACTCAAAATCATTTGGGAAAAAAACAAAAGGCGGGGAACAGGTTTACTGGCCCGATGGAGCCTGGTGGAACTACTGAGACTATGGCCCCTAGCTCTCCTTCAGGTCTGGAATTGAACACACACCTGTAGCTTCCAGCCAAGCAGTAAACATGCATACTAGTTGAGCATTTATCTGAGGTAGATACATTCCTTGAAGAGAACAAGTAAGAGAGAAAGAAGGGCTGCTCAGGCACAGGGAGACAGCTCAGGGGGTAGGAGTGCATGGAGGGATGGACACAGGGAAGTGGTACCTATCGGGAGGAAGTGGGAGGGGAGATGTTGCGTTGTGCTAAATAGTGGTCAATGTCATGAGACAAAGTGTATGTGATCTGCTGTATGGAAAGTGTATTTGCTCTGTAAATTTTCATCCAAATCACAATTTAAAAAAAAAACAAAACCTTATTTTCATATATATTTCACCATCACAATGCATACTTTGATATAGTGCCCACTACAATAAATATTTTGAAGATTATAGCTCAAATAATATCCCTATTTGAAAGAGCGAAAAAAATGAACCTTCGTGACCTTAAATGTTTTTTCAAACATAAAGGAAAAGTTAACTTTATATTACTAACCATATGAGGAGAAAGGAGTGAAAACAGCTGACAGCTGATCTTATTCTCTCTGAATTGCTTTTCAATTGCAGAAACGAGGAAAGAGGTAGACCCTCTCAGGAAAAGAAGGCAGACAGACTGGCCTAAACTCCTTGAAAACATTCTTGAAATTGTACTTCCTTGTAAATAGACTAATAACATGGTCTAGGAGGAGAACCTTAATCTCTGAAAAGTTCTTATCAGCACATCCTCAGTCTAAGATCATTTATCACAAGCAAACCTAAGATCTAAGCATTTATGGAGCATGGTCCCATGGAGAATATAATAACGTAAGTCCTATAATGATCTGAGTATAAAATGGAAAGATTTTATAATGAAAACATTCCAGAGAAGGAAACATTATGGAAGTCCCTCTTTTTCTCACCTCGATTAATGCTGAGAAGTTGCCTACATTCTCGTACAAATGATCACATAACCCTATCCTCAGTTCTTTTGCCATTCTGCTGACTTACATAATATGATGACTTTACGCCAGATCACTTGGGCCTTTGGTAAGTACTAACTTCTCATTTGTGCACTTGTTCTCAACATCCAGTTGTTCTACTGGTCAGCCTTGGATATACGATAGGGGACACTATGGGTCAGAATGGACTCGATGGCCATGAGTTTTGTTTACTGTCATTTTCAAAAGCCTCTTCAGCTTTAGGACAAGGATTCTAACTCCATTTGTTAAAGACTATTTACCAACTCCAATGCAGTAACTAATAAATAAAAATAAGCATTTCTCCTGCTTGCTCATTTGAAACATATCATTTTTCTGACTATTATCTGTCAGATGTACATTTTGCTACAGAGCTTTGAGTCCATAATTTAATCTCCTTTTTCTTGGTGCCAGCATAAGCTGGCATTGATCATCCCATTTCTTACCAGGTGGAGTAAGGATCCCCCTGAGGAAAGAGGAGTGTGAGGATCGGCCCCTTCCTTCAGTAGTCGAAGCACTGTAAGAACGAAGAAGAGAAAGGAGTTATAGCAAACCTTTATCCCACAGTCTGAACTAAAATTGAGGCATTTTTTTTTTTTTTATGAAAAATGCAAACAGCTGATGAAAGCCAAAGATAAAGCATTGATTATCATGCGACATTATTTCATGTACTAATGAAAGGATGATTAGTAGCCTTTCTTTTTGTAACAAGCTTATTCTTCAATTTGCAATTTTGATAACCTCCTACAGCCATACAAATTATTAAGAAAGTCCATTGTTTCTTTGGGCCTAATTCATACATCCTTTCTAGAATAAAGGAAGAAAAAAATAAAGAAATTATTGGGTTGATGTGGTAATTACCTCACTAAATTTTTATTTTTTTGACTCCTTAAGAACCATTAGCTTAAAACAATTGAAGTTTACATTTGGAAGATTAAACTTGCATCTATAGCCATTTTATTACCTCTTGGCACTGTTTTCATCATTCTCACAAAACACTAAGGGACAAAGGAATTTATATCTATATTAGTGATGCCAAGTGAATCAAAATCTATACTAATTATCAGAATAAATTCACACTTGGGAGGTGACCTATTTTTCCATTTGAATAGCAAAGGTGAATTAATTAGGAAATGGAATGCCATAAGGCATTAAGGGATTGATTGTGTTGCATCCCCTGTGACTTAAAGTGGGGCTATAAAACAAGCCCCAGTAGAAAGATTCATCAATTCTCTGAGGCACTGTAGTAGTTTCCACTATGCTAATAACAGTATCAGAGTCTTAGTAAAAAAAAAGCCACTAATGCATTTTCTACCCTAAAATATAATTAAATCAACACTTCCATTTCATTATAAAACATAGCTATACAAATTGGCACAGATTCAAACTAACAGTTAGTGGAAGTATACCGTCTTTACTAAATATTTCTGCAACCTGAAAAGTTACTTGAATGGACCTTTTTACTGTGGCATCCTGATTATTTTATGTGTTCCAATATCTAGTGTCATACCATATTTCCCAAATCCAACTTCATATCACAGAAGACATTACCAGTCTGGGTGGACATAGTTAGTTATTCTGGCAATTTTTTCTCTCCAGGAACAACCTCTCTCATGACAGATGCAGTAGTTTTGAGAACATAGGCCTTCCAACTTGTGAAACAGGCCAGTTAAACCCACGCTAGTGGCTAAGGTGGTGAGAACAACAACCCCACATCCAACCCAGTGGACAGCTTTTCTTTATTCCCAGTACCATTTGTCCAAATCTCTCTCCCTAGAGAAGTCAGATACATTTCTGTTCTCTCTGAGCAAGAAAAACACTTGGCCTTGACTTCTTTAATCTTAGGATCTATTCTTCCCAGGTCTTTCCTAAACAAAAGTTCCTGAATGGAGGGATTTCTAAATCTATTCATTTACCAATGACATTAATTTGACAATATTTTTCCTTCAATCAAGGATTTAATACTTTTTCACAAACTAGCTTTGGCTAATGTTTGGTAATTTGTTACAAAAAAATTAGAAGTGGTAATCTTCCAAGATGAACTGCAATCTGATATCATGTGATGCATACACTTGCTTACCTGGTGACACCTCTCTCTCTCACTTGTGAAAAAAAATCTTTGAGGTGAAAGGCCTTCTTTTCTGTTCTTCTCTGTATTTCTTGGAATCTTTCTGTGGTGTGGTTTGTAGGTGCCGCTCTCTCCCTTTCTTTCTCCCTCTCTATAAATATCTATCAATAATTAATTAATGCTATTCTTGATCCTTCACTTATTTTTTACCCTTAACATTTAAAGACCATTGAACTCTGCAAAATATTTATAAATATCTTCACCAATGATTTACTCAGAAAATAAACAGGACTTTTATCCTAACATTTATTTATTTATGCTTGAAAAATGAAATGATTCACCTGGAATGAATAGCTCATAGTGCTTTACAGTCTGCATAACTTTTGCACAAGCATAGTCTTACTACAAATATACAAATACAATTTGAAGTAGTTGTTGTTGTTAGGTGCTGTTGAGTCATCTTTGACTCAGAGTGACTTTGTGTACAACAAAACGAAACACTGCCTAGTCCTGTACCAGTCCCATGATCCTTGCTCTACCTGAGCCCAGTGTTGCCGCCACTGTGTCAAACCATCTTGTTGAGGGCCTTCACTTTTTTTGTTGACCCTCTATTTTACCAAGCATGATATCCTTCTCCAAGGAATGGTCCCTTCTGACAACATGACCAAAGAAGGTGAGATGAAGTCTGGCCATTCTTTCAAGGAGCATTCTGGCTGCACTTCCTTGAGGATAGATTTGTTAGTTCTTTTTGCAGTCCGTGGTACTCTCAGCATTCTTCACCAACACCACAACTCAAAAGCATCAACTCTTCTTCAGTCTTCTTTATTCAATGTCTAGCCCTTACATGCTTAAGAGGCAATTGAAAATACTATGGCTTGGGTTGGCATATCTTTGCTCTTCAGCATTTGAAAGAAATCTTTTGCAGCAGATTTGCCAAATCCAATATGTCATCTTATGTCTTGACTACTGCTTCCATTGGTGTTGATTGTAGAGCCAAGTAATATGAAGTCTTTGACAACTTCAATCTTTTCTCCATTTATCATAATGTTGCTTATTGGTCTAGTTGTGAGGATTTTTGTTTTCTTTATATTGAAGTGTAATCCATACTGCAGACTGTAGTCTTCAATCTTTATCAGTAAATTTTCAAGTCATCCTCACTTTCAGCAAGCACAGTTGTGTCATCTGCATATTGCAGGTTGTTAAAGAGTCTTCCCCCAATTCTCATGTCATGTTCTACTTCACATAATCCAGCTTCTCAGATTATTTGTTCAGCATATAAATTAAATAAAAATGGTGAAAGGATACAACTCTGACACACTCCCTTCTTGATTTTAAACTATGCGGTATCCCCTTGTTTTTTTCAAAAAACAGCCTCCTGGTCTATGAACAGGTTCCTCATGAGTACAATTAAGTGTTCTGGAATTCCAATCTTATTAATGTTATCCATAATTTGTTATGATCCACACAATTGAATGGTTTTGCATAGTCAATAAAACATAAAAAAAAAAATCTTTCTGGTATTCTTTGCTTTCAGCCAAGATCCATTTAACATCAGCAATGAGATCCCTGGTTTCACATCCTCTTCTGAATCCAGCTTGCCTTTCTGAAAGTTCTCCGTCAATATACTGCTCCAGCTGTTTTTTAATTATCTTCAGTAAGATTTTACTTGCATGTAACATTAATGATATTGTTTGATAATTTCCACATTCTTATGGCATGCTTGAACCTTGCATGTAGCCAAGTCATTGTTCAGCAGTCTGCCATGCTTTGCTGATCTTGGAACTTTCAATGAATTTTAATTAATTGCCAGCTGTGTGGTTCGGTAATATTGGGAACTGTGCCTTCTCACTTGTGACCTTGTGTTTGTCAGCCTCAGCTGCCAGCAGCTGCCTGAGTAAAGAGATGCCTCTAGCTTCAGTGGGCCATGAATGAAAGACAGAGCTGAAGCCCAAGGTTGAGGGGCTTTCACCCAGCCACTAGAGCTTGGCACTTTGAACTCAGGCTGCTACCCTCCAAAACTGTAAGAGAATAAAATTCCTATTTGTTTGAACCATTCCCATTTGTGGTATATTTTCGTTAGAGTGGCACTAGAGGTAACCAAAACAGAATATTTGAGGTAGATTGTATTATATTAGTTAAATATCAGTTAAATGTCATGAAATTTTTAGGTAGAATTCACTGTGTATCGTGAGTTACATGCACTATGAATCAGTAATGCATTGGCTTTGGGTCTGAGGCCTGGCTCCACTGATTGCAACATGAGTCCACCAGGAAACCTTCTAAATCTATGTTTCAGTTTTGTCAGTAAAATAATGGGCTATTGCTATTCCCATCTCATGGGATTATTGTGAGAATTAAATGAGATAATCTATATAGCAATTTACCATGCGTCCTGGCACTTCGTAAGTACCATTAAATATTTTCCATTAGTAAAATTGCCATAAATAATAATTCTATAATATTATAATCATAGAATCCATATTTTAAGTCCTACACTAAACTTTTCAAAACTCTCTAATTATTGAATTTATATATAGAATACAAGCAATGAAATTTTAGCAATATCTGTTTTATGGCTTAGTATGCATTTTACCAAACAGGAAAAGGAGGAGTGATGCTCTGAGGGGAAAATGAACAAAAGCAAAGGAAAATGATGATTGTGGGTTATATGAATACTCTTTTATGGTTGGAAATTGAGTGTATCTTGGAAGAACATATGGAGAATGTTGCATATTATGCTAAAAGATCTGGACATCAAATTGTGGGCCAAAAGGAGGGGCCATAGGATTTTAAGCAGGCAAGCAGAATGAAATCTCTGGGAGAAAAAATTTAATATTTAAGAGAGGGCAATATGAGGACTAGCTCCAACTGTGCTTAAATTCTGAATGGATGTTGAGGCTTATGCCAGAGGGTGTCACTATAATGAGGGCCCAAGGCCTTGTTGTGGAGGATGCAGAATGGGCTGCTTAGCCTCAGATATAATGGGAATTAGCCATATTTCAGAGGGACAGGTCTACAGCCAGGACAACAGCCAAGATAAGTCTAAGTCACTAGGCTAACCGAGACCAGCTCACAAAGGGGATAACATGAGGCAATGCACTACTGTGGAGTTGGATCTGACTCATAGTGAACCCTCCTTGGGTTTCCAAAGTGTTATCACTATGGAAATAGATTACCCAACCTTCTTTCTGAGGAGGGGCTGGTGACTTTGAACCACCAGTCTTCCGGTTAGCAGTCAAATGCCTTAGGCACTATGCTACCACAGCTCCCCACAAAAGGGATATAGATAATAAATATTTAAAAGTTTATTATAAGTTTTACTACTATAAAGATTATGTAGCACACAATTTATAAAAACTAAATACACAGTATCTGTTATTGTAAATTTCATACAACAAATTAATTCTCAAAGAACATTTTTCATTTTTGCCAAAACCAAAAAGGGTACA